TCATATACGAGTGGCTGTTCTCGCGGGTATTTAAGGTTGAAATAAGCAGAATTTTAAAAAAGAAGCATTTAGTGGGAACAAGTGATATTGCAGATCTATCCTTGATATTTCTTAGAACTTATTTCTTAACTTTCAACAGTTCACTTATGAATGATGATCAGATTATCAGGAAAATTGCGGTCGTTGTTTTCTACCTTTTTTTCTAGTCGTTTCCGGTCGCAGCCTTTTATAATAGAAGGTTTTCTGTTAGTTTTCTATGCCATTATTTCTAATTCAGGTTCAAGATGTCATTTCTTTATCATTCATTTCTCTTCCCATAAACGTAAAATTCAGTTTCATTATTGGCTATGCGTTGTTTGCAACAAATCGAAACGACTCTACCTGAGTTTAGGGTCAACGGTCATCGCACAAGGCCGAAAGTTCTCGTGTATAGGGCAGTTGTTTTCACGGGCTTATTCGTCGGTTACCTTATCCGCGCGGTTCACGCGCAACCCCATGTGGGAGTTGTTTTATACCCGGGTGAACAGGGTAAATTGTTGTCGTAAGCTGTCTCAATGCTTCTAAAGGACACTCAGTCGAGTAATTCAAAAAGCTATGTATTCTTGCAAGTGCGGAACGAAACGCCACTTCCAATTGCCTTCTTGATGTGCCACACGTTCTGCTGACGTTTTCTCTCTCGAATTAGCGTGCGCGACCAGTAAAGTGCACAAAGTTCAGATCTCAAAAGAAGCAGTGCAAAACTTGTATATTGATGATGATGCTGATCCCATAAAGGATAACCTCTCCTTGTTGTTTTACGTTGTATTTTCGTTGTAGTTGGCATTTAAGGGCAATTATTGGATTGTCGACAATCTGTTCTGAGAAACCGGATGTTTCGGCAGCACTTTGTATATCATTCGAAAGTAGAAATCTCTCTCTACAAAATAATGTGCTTGTTATTTCCTGAATTTTGATGTTAAACTAGAAGTGGTTGAAAATGTAATGAGGGCCGAAAAGAGCTCAACCAACAACTTGATTTTTCTTAATTGCTGGGAACCGGAGTCCACAGTAACGCTACCTGGTGGCTGCGCCGACTTCGGAAATCATAGCTATTTTTTTAGCGGTACGAACATACTGTAAGACTATGGTAGGTGTACACATAGTGTATTGGCGATATCAGAATTACTGATTTGCCTGAAAAGTAGTCTAATGTTGTGCTCATATGCATTTTTTACGGTAACATTAAGCTCGGTAGACGTAAAGTTTCTAATTCCTTCTTTTCCACTGGATTAGTGATTTGCATCTCATCATCATATATTCATCTCACTTTTACTTTGAAGGCTTGTAACGCGATTGATGTAATTGGTCCGCGTGACCACTGTTGCATTTACCTACCGTTTTTTAGAATAAACTTCTGAGGGAAATAGATACGATTTTTGTGATCAGCGTACCCAATTACCCTATTGGATAGCTTTATGGAATTTTTTGACTCACACTCCGGGAAAAATTGACTGTCATTTGGTTTTTTTTTGTATTTTCAACTTCATTCTTCTTACTTTACAAAAGCCGCATCAGTAGATTATCCAAGCGCAATCTCGTAGTGGGAGATTTGTTCTTTCGATTGATATGTAGTTTACTGCCTGAATTTCCGCTTTTATAATTTTTTTTGAGTGGAATAAACGGCAAAAACATTTTTGATAACTTAATATCTC